GTTTTGCATCTTTTCCAGACGGCGTTTTGCAATAAAAATGTCTGACTGCCACGGAGAGGCACAAAAGTCAGGGCTCCATCCAATTTCCCGGGCTGCTCTTGGTTTGGGGGGAAGAGGATTTGGTTGTTGCTGAGGGTGAACAATAGGTTTTGTGCCTCCAATAGGTCAGCTCACAAAATTGGAATTGTCTTTCAAAAAATACGCTGCACACAGTCTTTGAAATGTCATCCAGAGGTGCAACCATAAACTTCCTTTTCCATAATAATTTTTATTACGCCTCAGATCAGGAAACACTATTTCAACCTCAGTAAGTGGAGCCTTAGGAGTGTTACATCTGATTGAACAGTGGGGGACAACTGCCACAAAATGAAGGTGTTTTTTATGGAATGGTTTGGGTTAGAAGGGACCTTGAAGCTCTTCTCATTCCACCTCCCTGCCATGTCTTCCACTATCCCAGGTTGTTCACAGCCCCATCCAACCTGGCCTGGGACACTACCAGGGATAGGTTAGAAGCTCATCATCTCTCAGTGGAAACCAGGCAGAGATCTGGGGAGGATTTTTAGTCTGGACCTGTTCCTAGTGATGGAAAAACAGGCTTTTGAGAGCTCAGAATAGCTGAAAAGGACCAAAAAAGTGTGATATTCATACCTGTATACCATTATAGCCTTGGAAAGTCACTGCTCTTGGAGAGTCTCTCATTTCATATGTGGTGCACTGGAAAAGGATGGCAGTGGGACAGATGGAAGAAAGATGGGGAGACCTCGAGGAAGGAGCAGATATTATTTTGCATTTTAGTGTTGTGACACATGGCTTATCCCGAGGTGAGTGATTTCAATGTGAGCTTGGAAACCACTTTGCCCAGGGTAAAACTGTAACCCCAGTGAAGGGCTTTCTCCCTCTCCACCACTCTTGTATTATTTGAAAACCCTCAAACTCTGTAACGTTTTTTATATCCATGTTTTTGATAATCTGAGCCATGTCTTTAACTTCAGGATGGCTCTAGAGCACAAGGACAAGGGGGAATGGCTTTAAGTTGAAGGAGAGTGGATTCAGATTGGACATTGGGAAGGAATTCCTCCCTGTGAGGGTGGGGAGGCCCTTGCCCAGAGAAGCTGTGGCTGCCTCATCCCTGGAAGTGCTCAGGGCCAGGTTGGACATAGGCATCAAGCTGGCGCCACACATAGCCTGGGTTCAGCTTGTGGCCCTTGGTGGAGTGTCTCTGAAATCACTGTGATGTGCGGCTGTAAATTCAACAACTGCTGGCATTCAAAATCCAGAGACCCCCCCCAAAACGGGGGTGTCACTTTTTGGGTAGGCTTGTTTAGAAAACATGATCATACCCATTTGCTCAATTTGCATGTCTGAAAGGCTCCTGCTCAGTTAATTGGTTAAATTAATTTCTGCTCTTGTAAACAGAAAAAAAAGCTGCTGTATGAGGAGCAGGACTAAAGTAATTTTACTTTACATTATTCTGTGTCATGGCGCATCGTTCCTTTCTTACTCAAGGCAATTCATTTTGTGGGGCTGTCAAGTAATGTTTGGCGTCATCTTCAGTCAATGCAGCTTTTTTTATTTCCCCCTGATATTTTAACAGTTTATTTAGTCCTGTAGATAATGGTCAATGGCCTTGAGTAGTCAAATTAACACCTCGGTGGCGCCGTAGCGGGGCGGTAACCTGGGGAGGAGGAGAAGGGATGGGGATCGACGCGGGGAGCGCGATTTGGGGATTATGGATTGATGGATGCCGAGGCAGCATCGCCCTGCTCTGACTAAGATGGAGCTGCCAGTTAGTGCTGACTGCAGGCCATGGCCTGCCTGGTGTCTCACAGCTCTGAGCCAGGATGGAGACCTTGGGTAGCCCTCGGATCCTGGGATCAGCAGAACATTCCGCCAGCCGCCAGAACCACAGACAGCGCCCGTTGGATCCAATGGAACGGCGCCCGTTGGATTCAATCCCGTGCTTCCTGCATTCAATCCTGTGATTCCGGCATTCAGCCCTGTGCTTCCTGCATTCAGTCCTGTAGGGATCTCTCTGGGACATGGCTGGTGTCCCCCCTGCCCTGGGAGGAGCAGGGGGAGCCGCGTTAAGCCGTGCTGCTGCTGCCAGCGAGCTGCGAGCCCCGGGTCCCCCCTGCCACAACTCTCAATTGCTAGCAGGTTTCTCTCACTGCACCTCATTTGCATCTGGGACATCAATTAGCATGTTTGTTGAGGCTAATTGAATGAAACTCAATCATAGCTCTTAATTGCTTGACTATGTGAAAAGAAATCACATTAATGCAGCTAATTAAGTGTATGGCAATAGATGCAACATAATTAGGAGCGAAATGTAAAAAACAAGCGGCGGCGGAGGTGCGAGCGCGGGGCGTGGGGGATCGAGGCGCCCGCGTCTCCTCTGCGCCACGTGTTTGGGGAGGGGTCCCTCTGCTTTGCTGCTGCCTTTAATTTCTATTTTTTTATTATTTTTTTTTCCCCCTGCCTTGCCGAATGATGAACGCGGACAAGTTGAGAAGAAAAATGCAAATGGATTCGCAATTACTACTTTTTCAAGCTGTTGAGGGGCAGAAGATGGCACGTCTGGGGTGGCCCACTGTTGAGTGGGCTCCAGGGACTTGTTAAGTGCTGTTTAAAAGTACTTGGCTTTGAATTACCCTCATGCCTTGTTAAAGGGTTTTTTTTTTCCCCTTTTTTCTCGGATCAGCATTTTCTACAACTAACATCTTGGGGAGTTATCCCTGTACCATTTGCATATCAAAATCCAGCTTGCTGTCTTCTCTTTAACGCAGCATATTCCAGATGACAGCAAGACCCTCATCTGTTCTAATCTGATCAAACCCTCCATTGCTCCTCTGAAGCCCCGGCATCATTTTGTAGTTTGAACTTTCATTCCCCGAGCGAGCCGAGGATCTGAGGGGGCTGGGAACGCTCTCCTTGCCCTCCCCTCCTCGGGGAGACCGGCAGATTATCGCCCTGCACCCTGCCCACGATGAAAGGGCCTTTATTATTTACATTTGATATATCCCCATAAATATTTAAGCTGACATTAATACCTACCCAGCATCTGTTGTGGTTCGGGCGCTTCGCTCCCACGGCGGCAACTCATTGGTTTTGTGTTTGCTTCCTCAAGTGGTTTTGTGGCTCACCTCAGCCTGCTTTGCACCCAGCCAAAAGGCCTTTAACAACACCCTGCCACATCTCAAGTTGGGAAATCACCACCAGCCTTCATCTGAGCTGCATCCAAAACCCCCTTCTCCAGCTGAAGTTGGTTGTAGGTTAAATAAAACTGTTGGGAAAGGGCACATGCTGAGGTTTAGTCACTCCCTGATTAAACCTCACTTTACAGCCCACAAGCAATGAATGCTCACTTATCTTTTGCTTATTGTATTTTAATTTGTGAAGAAGTGACACCCGAACAAGAAAGTTCTACTGAGTTAATGATTTATGGATGAAAGGTGTTCTCCAGCACCTAGTAAAGGAATTTTCCTGAGTGGATTGCTTTTGTTTTTCTCTTGGCAGCAGAGCACCGTGTCCTCTCCCCACTAATTGTTCAGACACCACCTTTTCCTGTTAGTAATTCTCAGCTTGGGAAAAATAAGCTGCTGTGATGGCTTACTTCAAGGGTTTTATCACTGATTTCTGTTAACTATGAAGAAATTATTGCTGGTACAGGTTTTTGATGGGTTTTGAGCAGAATAAATAATTTGTGCTATAAAAACTGCCAAAGGTGAAAGAATCTTGATGAGGGAGCAATCAGCTCCCTGGATTGTGGCAGCAGTGATAGAGATTTTGGGTAAATTCAGGAAATCTCTTGTAAAGTGGGAGCCCAGATCTTCTCCCAGCCACCTCAAATCGCTGTTTTTCTCTCGGGGTCCTTAATCCCAGAGTCCTGAGTGGTCTGGGTTGGAAGGGACCTCAAAGCTCATCCCATTCCATCCCTGCCATGGCCAGGGACACCTTCCACCATCTCAAGCCCCATCCAACCTGGCCTTGGACACTTCCAGGGATCCAGGGGCAGCCCCAGCTTCTCTGGGCAGCCCAGGTAGCTTTTTGTGCAGTGCCCTTGCCCCTTTTCACCCCTGATTTTCCTCTCCTGTGCTGCCCCTCTTGCATGTCCTCTTTAGGAGAGTGTCTCTTTTGTTGCTTTCCATGTCACTGTAGTTGTCCCAGTTTCAATTATTTTTTTCTGGAATGTGAGTGACCACAGCCCTGTGTACCAGGAGATGGGAGCTCTGGTGTCTTGTGTGCTGCCTTTAACATTCACCATCTCTCCTGGAAATAGCTGTGCTGGTGTATCCCAGGATCAATTTGCCCTCTGATAAAAACACCCATGTCCATTTGCTTTTCTGTTTATTTCCCCTTTGTGGGCTTTCCAAGCAAGAATTAGCAAAATCCTTTTCCACTTCTGGCTCCCAGTGTTTGCTCTAATCAGATGTAATTTGCATGATTTTTTCCCCTTGGATGATGTTTTGTGTAGGTGCAGGAAGGGTCCATATTGTAAGGAAATAATGTTGGAATTGCTGAAACCTTCCCTGTTGGTGCCCTTTGGTAACTTTGGTGCCTGCTGACCCATTCCAGCTAAATTTGAGGGAGAAGGAGATGAGGGCATAAAACACTGGCAGAGAGGAGACACAAGTGAATGTGCTCAGGAGGGACACTCAGCCTGGTCTGCTCCTCATGTTTGGGACCTTCAGCTGGTGAATTCCCACACGTGGCTGTGTTGTGAATCACCTCTTACCCAGCTGGAAGTTAGAGGGTCTGTGAGAAAGCTCCAGATTTTTAGGGTTAATGTGAAGTGTGGAAGGGATTATCAGGAGCATGGAAGGAAGGGGAAAACCATATGGTGGGTGCTGGCAGAGGGTGTAGGGTCAGAGCCTTGTGAAACCAGGTTTGTTAATTGTGTTAATTCTCCAGAACTCCCTGTCTGATGCTGTGTTAATTCTGTTAATTCTCCAGAACTCCCTGTCTGATGCTGTGTTTGGGGTTTTCTCCTCTCTCTGCAGGATTACATGCAGAATGTCCATGGCAAAGAGATTGACTTGCTGAGAACCACTGTGAAGGTCCCTGGCAAGAGGCCGCCCCGAGCCACCTCAGCCTGTGCCCCCATCTCCAGCCCCAAAACCAACGGCCTCTCCAAAGACATGAGCAGTTTACACATCTCGCCAAATTCAGGTAAGGGAGCGCCTGGCATGGGGGGAAATGGGAGACAATCTGCATTTGCAGCGTCTGTAGGGAATTAGCATGAGCAGCTGGGACAGGGATGGATATCTCTCCATCACTGGAGGGGTTCCAGGCCAGGCTGGTGGTGCTCAGAGCAGCCTGGTGGTGTGGAAGGTCTCCCTGCCCATGGTAGGGGTGGAATTAGTTGAACTGTAGGATGCCTCCCAACCCAAACCATTCTGGGATTTACAAACCCACTGATGTGGAGGTTTTTGAGCCCTGACTGCTGATCTATCCCCCACAAGAGATTCTGAGTTTCTGGGTAGCCTTCAGTGTCTGTCTTTGTGTATTTGTTACCCTGTACTTGCCAAAGCCCTACATAATTTCACAGTGGTTACCATATGGGAGGAATCTATGATCTCTTATCTAATTCTTAGGAAAAGCAAACACTGTATGATCTGAAAGGGCTTTTTATGGCTTCCTGGTGAGACCCACAGCCCTTCTTTCCACTTTTGGAAAGTTCAGTATTATGCATTCTTCTAACAGCAAGATTCTTCTGTGGAAAGCTTTTTAGTTTGTTGGTGGAAGTGGTTTATAGCTCCTTCTGAGCTCTAAACAAAGATGTTTATTGTTTGCTGAAGTACTTGTCCATACAGCTAAGTGGATTTTAAAAAATTGCATTAAGGGAAAACATTGGAGACAATTTATCTTGTAAAATGCACAGCTTGTACAAAACTCATAATGGGCTAGTGGAAGTTCTGTCAGCATGTTTGGGATGACATCCATAAAAGTGCCAAGTGCCTTCTGCATTTATGGGTAATGCAGACACCTCCTGCATGTGCCAGCAAAACCATCCCCACACTCCTGTCCCTGTGCAAAACCCACTGGGGTGAGCAGCCCTGGCATTCCTGGATATTCAGGTGTCTTCTCTTGGACAATAATAATGATAATTATCTACCTCATGCTTCATAGGATCAGGCTGGTTTGGGTTGGAAGGGACCTTAAACATCATCTAATTCCAAACCTCAGTCCTTCAAGCCAAGGTGGAATTCCCTGCATTTTTGAGACATTTCCCTTTATTAGGAGAAAACTGAGAAGTTTTTTTTTTTCCTTCCAACTCTGAATGGTGCTGTTTGAGATGGGTTTTTAAAGTGGTGCCACTGAGCAGAAACTCCTGGAGAGCCCAGGCTGGGCCCTGAGGTGTCTGAAGCCGTGATTTCATCAAACCCTTCAGGTTTTGACCTGGCAGAGCTCATAGGAGAAAATTATTTATGGTTGGTGTTGTTTTTTTCCAGTTTTCTGTACAGTTTAGATGACCAGGTGTGGGGTGTGCTTTGGTTTTCACTATATTTCCTAATTTAGGGAAGCAAAGTGCTGGGCTGAGTCAATAAACTGCAGGGAAGACATTTAAATAGATTTCAGCTTTTAACACATTTGAACTCAGTCAAAAATTACTTGATAGCTTCAGAAAAGCAAGTTTCTGGAAACATATTTAGAGACATGTAAGAATTTAAGGTTTGTAGCATGGAATTTACATATTTTGGCATCTTCTTGGTTTGCCAGGTCAGAGGGAAACTTTCCCTGAGAGTTTGCAGCAGGCAGCTCTCACTCTGTGTGTGTGTGTGTCCTGGCCAGCCTGAGGTTTGATCACACAGAAAGAAGTCAATTATGCCAGAAATTCCAAATGCTGGGAAATTCAGGTAGTGAATTTCAAATAACACTGTGGGAATAGTTGGAGCTTCTCTCCTCCCTCTTGGCTTCCTCATCCTCTTGCTTAGAAATACTGAAAGACTTTGCTGCTGTTGATGTCTGGGCAGCAGCTGCTGCTTGTTACTGGCTTAAAAGCAAACATAAAAAGGATTAATCAGTTAATAATTACTAGAAAGAAAGAAAATAAAGAAAAGAAGGGCACTGTCCCAAGCTGTGCCTGCCTTCTTCATCTGAGCTCTGATGAGGTTCTTGGGGCTGAGTTCTGGAGGGGCAGGAGGACCCTGGAATATCTGCGGTTATCTCCCACGCAGCTCAAAACACCTGGGAATCATCCCTTGCAGGCTGTGCTGCTGCCTCAGAGCTTCCCCTCACTTGGTATTGGTGGAAAAGTGGTGTCTTAAGCCTTTGTGGTGCCTTAAAATGGACCACAGGGCTGAGTTTGTCACTTACTGGTTACACTGGGAGGGTTTTGTACACAGCTCTGCCATGTGGAGGAGGCTTGGACCAAACAGGAAAAATCAGCACTTTCTATTTTGATTTTTAGGCCTGTAAATTCACTTTGTTTTCTCTGCTTCACATTACCTCATCCCCAAATGTTAAATGCTGCTTGGCTTGGTTGGTGCCTTCATTTGACACTTAAGCACTGCTTGGAAGATGCCCCTTAAGGATGGATTTCCATGCCAACTTTGCCAAGAAATCCATGGATAAAATGCCCATTCAATTGCCTGTAACTGATATTTTAAGTTCATATTTCAGCAAATAGTTTTCTCTGAGTGTGATTTATTATGATCCAACCACTTTTCTGCTCCCACCACAGTCTGTGAGGCAGCAGAGCAGCTCGAGCTCCTCCTCATCCCCTTCCCTCTCTGAAGCCTTTTTGGACCTCAGTGATGCCTCAGACACCTTGAATTTCCTCCCACCTTGGGTCTTTCCCAAGGTGCTTCCCATAACAGTGCTGTGAGCAGAATAGGGGGAATGAGGCTGATCAGGGCAATATTGGGAATTTGGGAAGTACAAACTCAGTTCCAGTCCTTGAGAGTTTCCATTTCAGAGATGTAAAAAAAAAAGAAAAAAGAAAAATCCCCACCTTTATGAAAATATATGAGTTTTAAAAAGTCTGGATTACTCTTCCCTGCTGGGTTTCCACTGGCACAAGGGCTTGGGAAAAACAAAAAAAACAATTTTCCCTTAACATCAAGTCACAGTCCATTGTCAGAGTCATGGCGGGACAGTGAACAAACTGGAAGTGAAACAGCAGCAGGACAAAGGAATATTTTCTGTGCTGTCAGGAAGCAGGGAAAGGAGTAGAAGGTTGGGCTGCTCCTGCTGTTGCAAAGCCAAGCACCTTGCCTGGAAAAAGGTTTACTTTGATTTGAAATCTGGTCCCTTCTTGGGTTCTTGGAGGTGCAGTGTGGGGTTTATTGTGTAAGAACTGGGATTCTGTGTGGCAGCTTCTCCCAGAAAACACAGAGAGGTGCAGGGTTGTTATTTATGTTGTATAGACTTTAAATAACAGGTTGGTAACTGTGGCTTCAGGGAAGGTGCTCACACTTGTAAGCTAACTTGGTAGGAAACTGAGCTGGGGGAAATGGATGTTTACTGCCTTCAATCCAAAATTATGTCACTTCTGTGGTATTTTCACTCCAAGCTGACAAACAGTGAAATTTAAATTGAATTTACATGGCACTGAGCATCATTCTGTTGATGCAGCTCGGTTGGAAGTCCTTCAGAAAAGGGTAATTCTTGGACTTGCTCAGTTCCAGCTTTCTCCAAGAGCTGGGAGCAGGGCCAGAGTCCTGTCCTGTCCATCTCACTGGCCAGTCTCTCTGCCCTTTAGGAGCTGGCTCAGCCTGGCTTGGGAGCCAGGAGTGGGTCCAGGTTTCATCACTCCTGAATTGGGTTGGATTTGCTGTGCTTGACCTGAAGGTGAACTTATTCCTGAAATCTCTCCCAGGAGTCATTTATTTCTTCTCCTCTCCAAACAACCCAAAGCCCGAGCTGTAGCAAGAGCCGCTGATGTAGAAAGTTCACGACTAAAAATAGCTTATGGTGTAGAGATAAATTGTTTCCTGATTAACACTTCATTTAAATAATTTGGTGCTATTAAATTTCCTTAAAATGGTGAGTGTACAGTATGTGAAGTATCCCAAAATGTGTTAGTGCCTGGGCCATCGTTAAGTGTGCTGAAGGTTGTTATCTGCTAACTGCTTGTGACATTTCAGATGCTGCAGGAATGGCAGCTCCACCTTCTTACCACTGAGAGCTTCCTGTCTGTCATTAATTGTGATCATCTATCAAATCTTTGGTGCTTTTTGCAGGTCATGTAATCATCTTTTTCAACTGGGGGGTCACTGTGAGGATTCAGATGTTACGATCAGGCTGGTGATGAGTAAAAATATTTATCAAGCCAAGAGCTCAGAAGCATGGGCAGTTTTCCCAAAGCCTTGTGGGTGCCTTTGCAAATAAATGCTGGACTGAGCCCTAAAAACTGAATTCCCTGCTTGGAGGTGGCTGAGGTGGCCTGGTGTGGTTGTTGGGAGTTGTCTGTCACTAACTCTGCAGTCGGGTGCAGAACACTTTCTACACTCCAGCTCCAGCACTGGTTTTATGCACTTGCCACAGATCACAAATGCAAGTTTGGGACTTCGTTTTGTCATCAATCACCCCAGTCAATTTTCCATCTGGGTGGCTCTGCTGTTGGCTCAGTGATATACAGCTGCAGCAACGGGAAGGAGAAGTTGGCAGTTTGCTCGTTTCAGAGGAAAAAAGCCCAATTTCAAGTGCATCCGAGATTTCCCTTTCATCCCACTAGAGGGGGATCCCTCAAGGTCATTTTCTCTGCTTCCTCTGGACTGGGATTTGCCCTTTCCACAACTACAGAAATACAAACTTTCATTTAGTTAGTATGCTATATCCCTTAATAATGGGAGAAAAGGAGCAGGGCACATGTTAGCAATAATGAAATAAATATTGGATAAAATTAACTGCATTAGTTAAATATTGAGGAAAATTAGTGTGCTGAGACTTTTCTCTTTAGGGATAAAAAATGGGAAAAAGGAGCTATGTGAGGATCCTTTCTGGAGGTGGGCAAACTCCTGATGCTGCTGAGGTGGATGAAGGGTGGGGATGTGTCCCAGAGCTTCAGGGAGGTGACTGGAGCCTGCAGGCAGTGCCTCTTTCCCTCTGGATGATTTTCATGGCTCTGTGACCATATAAAATCCCAGATCTGCCCTGTGCACCCGATGCCATCCCAGTGTCCTGAGGGTCACAGGGAGCAGCATGAGCTGGTTGGGTGTTCAGAC